TAACCCAGCCCAGCTGTCGCTCCTCCAGCTCCCTCCTGCCCTGCCAGTCCCCTGCACGAGGATGTGCGTATATTCCTGTCACCCAGCATAGGCCCCTGGGACTGGTGGAGCGGGGCCAGGGTCAGGCATTCTCTGCACCTGCACTGCGCTCATACTGGTCCCCAAGGTCAGTGTGCAGCAGGTGCTGGGGGGGAGGGGTGCTGGGAGAAGAAACAGGGACCCGTCTTCCATCAGCTTGGGTACAGCCAGGAAGAAGGCACCACAGTTTCCTGGGCCAACCCCATGCTGGGCTTTGGAGTGGCACTAAAATGATGAGGTGGAGCCCCACTGGCACCCTGTCCCCACTGTCCTTGCCCCCATGGCCCACGCCTGACTGGGATAGGACACTCAAGGTTGCTTCCAGAAAGTTCCATTATTATGGGCTGAGATTATTGTGTGGGGTACAGTCCCAGCCACTGGGCCCTATGGGGGGCCAGTCTCAGGTCTCCTGTAGGTGAGGCCAGCAGGTGGGTCTATCTGATAAGCGACCTCTTTTGAGCCTGTTTTATTTAGGCCATGACACCCTCAGCTAAAGCGCTGCCGCCTCGCCAATGTAGCATAGGATGGTGCTCCAACCAGTGAGATGTGAGCAGAAAAGTTGGAAACCCGCTTTCCACCTGCCATGGTATGGCAGGCAGAGGGAAGCGCGGGTGCAGGGCCCGTCATTCCTCATCTCTGGGGCAGATCTTCCAGCAAAGGGTTCATCTGGTGGGGCAGCGTTGCCGTCTTCCCCTTTCATCCTTCTGTCTGTCTGAGAGATGTAAGGTGATGGTTAGAGCACCAGTCGCTGTTTGGGGCCACGGAGTGACATAGACCAAAAACTAGCCCTGGTTGAGTGATGCAGCAAGGCAGGAGCTAGACAGGACAGCTTGAGCTCCGGTCACGTGGGAGAAAAGCACACTTTTACTCTGTTGAAGCCTTTGTTATTCTGGGCTTCCTCCGAAATGGAGTGCTTGCTAACCAATCCTGAAGGGCAGGCAGACAAGGCGGCTCAAATGTTTCCTTCAGCTAGGCAGGATGCCATTCCAGTGTCCTGTAAGAAAATCTCAGTCTTCATAAATGCTGGGTCTGCGTCGGGCTCTTTGCATGCAGACACCTCTGTACACACTGGTGGGAAGGACTCCGGTCAGCCTCGTGGGGAAGGAAGAAACAGTCGGCTTTGAAGATTTTTCTCCCCAACGCTCCCATGACCTTGGGAAATACTAGATACTGGCAAGTGAGGCCTCCAGACCTCAAGAAGGCAGACTCTGGGGGCCTCTTTGATCATTTGTGTTGAGTTGTTTGGCACTCAGCTAATACAGTCCGTTCTAGGGAGCTCAGCCTACTACTGGGTACACAGCACTCAGAATGGTCCAGCAGCTGCCTTGGAGCTCAGAAGGGGGTCTCTGGGACCTCCCTCCCCATCTCCTCCGGTTCCACACTCCTTGACTTCTGCAAAGCCTGTCACTGGTCAGGTTGATAGGGTAGCTTCCCAGAAGATGCAGGAATGACGGAGTCAGCTGGGGGCAACTTGAACTTTGCTGCAACGTAGAGGGAACTGTGAGGTGAAAGTTATTGGGGAACACCACTTTTCCTGCTTTATTTTGGCAGAGTTTAATGGGTGCAGCTTGTTCATGTCCCAAAGCCATAGGGGAGAAAAAGAATAAGAAAAAGCCCTTTGCTGCTGCTATTGATAACTTGTCTCTTCACGAGGCGGGTTCAACCTAAAAATACCCTCCCTCCCCAACAGGGAAGCCAGCGTCGTCACGTTGCAGAGGAAACTTGAAAGTTGCCTGGGAAAAATCAGCTAAGCCACGTGAGCTGGGCCAGGCCTCTGTGGCCAGGCTGCCCACTGGCAGTCTGCTTCGTGTCCCCACAGAAGATTCCATGGGCACGCCTGAGGAGAACGTGGAAGTGTGCTCTGCCAGGGACCTGGGAATGCGGGGTGGAGATGGCCTCGGGTTGGCGTCAACAGCAGGGGCCAGGTGGGGCCACAGTACCAAGGCACCCAGTTCCTGGTTGCCACACCCTGGCCCAGCTGGTCTACAAACAGGCTGAGATGAGGAGATTGCACTCTGGCAAGGAGGTAGGAGGGAAGCGGGTGAAGGGCCGAGGGTGGCGGGCAGCCCGGCCCTGGGCAAGCTGCAGCTCTCTTCTAGAATGGGAAACATAAATCTCTCTCTCTTCTGCCTCCTTCAGGGCTGAAGATAGGGAACAGGAAGATGTAGTGCATGTTTCTATCCGGCTGTGACCAACCACAGTGCCAGCTGTGGTCAAGGGAGGTCTGTGTGGGGGTCATGAGAGCCACAGACAGATGGCCTGCCCACAGGCATGGGGTAGCCACTTCCCTTGTCAAGAAGACAAAGGGGTGAGCTAGAAATTCAGTCAGGGAGCCTCTGCCCTCCATCCTAAGACCTCGGAGTTGTCTTGGCCTCCAGGATCTATTCTGTCACATCCCACCTCCACTTGGGACTGGGAGGTACCCTTCGTTCATACCATGTGGGGGTGGGGTGGCACCCCTTATAGCATCCTCTATAGGCTGTGCTCTCATCCAGGTCCCAGGAACAGTTTAGGAAGGAACACATCCCCAAAAAGTCCCTTGAACCAGCACTTCTCAGACACAGAGAGCATTCTCAAAGCCGCAGCTGGTTGGGGGCCTTGTGACATGGAACCTGATCTCGTGGCCCTCAGACATTGTCCCCTCAGGGAACTCTGAGCATTGTGTCCCAGGGCACATCACGGACTGCTGGCCCATGAGACTTCTCTGGGCCTCAGCACCAGGAGACACGTAACTGGGCCGAGACTCAGTCTGACATCTGTAGAGTGGGAGAGATGATACATGTCTCCTTAGTCAGCTGCTGAGATGGGGGAGCCGGATAGGACACGTCCATCATGGGACACTTGGGGGTCATTTCAGCCATCTTCACTGTCATGGCAGGACCCAGAGCCACCCTTGTCCCTTTCTATGCCCTATGAGTCCATGTCTAGAGAACGTTGCTAAAGAATTAGCCACTGTGTGAGGATGGCGAGGGCACCTCCAACTTTGTCCCAAAGAGCCCCCTCACCGATTTAGGGGTGCTGACTCACCCCGTCCTGCACCTGAGGCTGCTGAAAGCAGCCCCCTGGCTCCCGCCTGTTAAAAGGGGTGGAGAGCCAGGTGCACACTGGTCATCTCAGCCCTTGACAGGTAAAGGCTAAGGGGTGAGGAATTCAAGGCTATCCCTTGGCTGCAGGAGCTTGAAGATGGGTGGTTCGAACGCCATCCCAGCCCCAGGGAACACCTGAGGTCAGCCTACCATGACTTGGGTCCTGAATACCCAGAGACCGTCCAGCCTAGATGGCAGGGCCCTGAAGCTTGAAGTAAGAAAGCAGGTGCTCCCCGAGGCCTGTCCTTTGCACAGGGACTGGTCTTGGAGGTTTAGGTGAGGGTGTGGCTGGTGATGGGTTTGAGGGACTCTAAGCTGGACTTGGCCAGCCACCCCCAAAAAAACTGCAGAACCTGGTCAGCCTGACTATCTCCGTGGCAACCAGCTAGCCGTCCTTGTCCTGGCTGGGGGGCCAGCTGCCGCACCCTTCCATCAGCCCTCAGCGGGCTGGAGTTGCTTTCTTCAGAGGTAACCATGGCAACGCCTTTGTTTCGGAGGCCTGGCCCGCCTTCCTCTGTCTCTCTCTTTAGGAGCAGAGCGTGCAGGGGGCTCTTTTCCAGTCCCAGCACGTCTTCCCAGCGCCACTGACAAGGGGCCACCAGAAAGCCAAGCTGCCCCTGGGGTGGGAGCCAGAGAGGCAGACAGGGTCTGCTCTGCTACAGAGACCCATGCACTCGTTCGGTGTTTGCAGAGCGCAGGAGCATCTGCAGAGTGGACCACAGAGGCACCCAGGGGTCTCTGCCTGAGCACCACCTTACCGGAGGTAGAAGTGTGGCCTTGGGGCAGGATCCTTCAGCACTGGCTGAAGGTCATATGTTCTTCGTGATCTGTGGTTCAGGGGGATTTTGGCAAAAGCACAAACTGGCTTAGAAGAATCCCAGTTAGTAGAGCAACTGGAAAGCCTAGGAGAGACGTCAGGTGCAGCTGGCTCTGGGGGACCTAGGGGTCTTGCTTCCTCCTTGGCTTCACGCTCTCAAGCCGGCAGACACCTACGGGAGCCCCAGTCTCCAGTATTCTCTCACCTCACTTGCTTCTCGGAAGGTTTGTAGAAGACAAGAGACCTCTAACTTACTTCCCTCTGGTCTGACATTGAGCTGAACCTCCTGGCTAGGACAGGACCACACATGCCTGTCCCTATGCAATTCCTGTAACCGGGAAAGTCCTATGCCAGCCAGTAGCCATCTTGTTTCATGTCACCCCACCTGTCTCAAACCAGTCCACCGTTCAAATGATATGGAGCGTGGTGAGCCCTGGCTGCAGAGGAAACTGAGTGCTCATGGAGGTCAGTTAGCCTTCCTGAGGCCAAACAGCTGGCAAGGATGCCCGTTGCAGACGTGTGCCCAGAAATTGCTGGCCTTAACCAGAAGCCACTGCAAACCACAGGGCGCCTAAGGGTGTTAAACAGGATAGACAGGCCAGGGGGGCAGCTGCAGGGGTGAATTGGCCCCAGGCTATGTAGAGCCACGTTCGGTGCACAAAGGCCAAGGCGACAGTGGTCGTTTGTCTAGTCCTTAGCAACCTTCAGAAACACCTCTGGGGGTCCGTAGTGGAAGGGCGGGTCTAGCCCAGAGCCAGCCGGATGGTCCACGCCCAGCCACCTGACTCACTGTTTGTAAACTAGCCTCTCCCAAGACCACGCCCCTTCCTCCTTCCTCCCCCTTCGTCCTAGCTTCAGTAACTGCAGAAACCCACCTTTTCCAAGCGCTGATTGGCTGAACGCGCCGCCACTCCCCCGTGTGGGCCGAACTCCGAAGGGGCCGACGGAGAGGCCGTACGGAGAACGTGATCAGCATAGCCCCGCCCCCGACGCGACCTGCGGGCAGGGCGCCGATTGGACGGGCGGCGGATGACGAGCACGGCGCGGGGCGCGGCGAGCGGCGCGGCGGGCTGTGGGTCGGAGAGGCGCGGGCCGCACTTCCGCCCGGGTGTCAGTGGGTTGCGGGTTGGTTGCGGGCCGCGGGCGAGGTCGGCGGCGCTGCGGGTACCGCGTTCAGGTGAGTGGGCCGCGGCGGGGCGGGGCGGGCGAGGACGGGGCTCAGGGAGGCCCGCGGGCCGCCTAGGCCTCAGCCGGCTGCTCCCGGGCTGGAGAGTCGGGCCGCTAGGCCGCCGCCGCCGGCCGCCGGGAGTGTGGACGACCGCGCGCTGGACAGGGCCCCCGTGGGACTCGTGCGAGGTCCGCGGTCCGCGCGAGGCACTCCGGCGTTCTCGGGGCGTCCCGTCCGCGCTGCGGTCGGTAAGCTGCGCATCCCGTCGGGGCGCGCGCGAAACTTGGTGCCCGCGGTGGCCTCACGTCGGAGGTCCTGTCTCTGTCTCTCTCTCCGCAGAGTCGGGCGAGCCTTCAGACTCCTGTGCCGGGGAGGCAGCCAGGGCCGTCAGCTCTGCGCAGAACCAGCCCCTCCGCGCCTCGTGGGCCCAGCAGGTAGGTAGGTGGAGGTGGCGGCGCGCAGTCCGCCTTGAGGGTCCCGGCTCCTCCGAGACGCTGCGCCCTCGGTCTGGGGCAGCTCAGTCTCCGGAGGACGACAGGCTTTTTGGGTATCCCTTTTGGGTCGGTCTTGACACGTCAGGTAGTTCTGTGGGGCTCCACACACACTTCCCGGAGGCCCGCGTTCGGGCTTGGCTCCACACCGTCGGAGATATTGGAGGGACAGCTCCTGAGTGGGGTCTCCGGTCCTGGGCAGCTCCTAGTTGTCTCCACAGAGAGCGCGCCCTTCCTAACTGCCACCCGCCCCCTCTCCCACCTTCGTTTCTGTTTGTGGCCTGTGACATCGCCTGTACCAGTAGGAGATACATATGATCCGTTGTGTGCAGTGGGCGCTGGCGAGCAACAGGTGTTCCAAGTATTAGTTCACTGCCGTGAGTAAGGGGAGCCGGAGTGCTTGGGCGGACACCGGCTCCATTGTCTCCAGCACCTCCCATGGTGCCATGTAAAGGGTGGCAATGAGGAAACGGGTGGCTGCATGCCCTCCGTGGAACCTGCCTTCCTGTCTGCCCCAGGTACAGTCTATTAATAACAACTCTTATCTCAAGGGGCGATAATTTTGAGCAGTTATTTGTTCTAGATCATTAGACGCATGAGTCTTACAGCCGTCACTAGCATCCTTATTCCTGAGGAATGGAGAGGTCTAGAAGCTTGCTGCAGGTCACAGAGCAGTGGGTTACATAGCAAAGGCGCCATAACTCCGGAGTTCCTTTTTTTCTCTTCTCTTTTGCCTTGCTAGAGATGAACATGGTGTAATGCCTGTCAGACAAGTGATCAGCCTCTGTGCTATTTCCTCAGCCGCAATTTCACATTATTAAAAAAAGCTTTATTTTTGGCATTATAATTATATCACTTCCTCCTTCTCTTTCATCTCTCCAAATCCCCTTTTTTCTCTTTCAGACTCATGACTTCTGTTTCTTTATTGTTTCATATGTGTGTATCTACATATGTACCCTTAAATACATAAAGCGACCAGCTCCGTGCATGTCATGTTATTTGTATGTATGCTTTCACGGCATTGGTATTGGGTACCAGTTGGTGTGCTCTTCACATGTTTCCGTTGTTACTTTTGAGGCAGCATCTTACCTAACTGCCGAGAATGACCTTGAACTGGCATCCTTTCCACACCCCTGTCCTGGGACCGCAGGCCTGTACCACAGCCCCTGGCAAGTTCTTGTTCTTTTTGTTGTTGTTTTGTTTTTGAGACAGGGTCTCACTGTGTAACATTGGCTGGCCTCCAACTTGATTTGTAGATCTGCCTGCCTCTGTCTTTCAAGTGTTGGGATTAAAGGTGTGTGCCACTGTGCCTGACAATATAAACATGTTTTAAAAAGAATGTGAAGCAAGGAATGATGGGATGTACCTTTAATCTTACCATTCTGAGAGGCCGGCAAATATCTGAATTCAAGTTCTAGGCCTGCAAAGGACACGTAGTAAGACCTTATCTCAAAACGTAACAAAAACTATTAGCATAAATTAAGTATATTTTATTAGCATATGTTAACTATGCATTTAATGAGTTTCATTATGACATTTTCATACATGTTACGTAATATATTTTGATCAGATTCATCCTCCTTGTTCCCTTCTCATGCCTACCTCCCCAAGTTTTCCATTCTCTTTCCATTATATATTTTTTAAATTACGTTTTAAAAATTTATTCTATGTATATGTGTATGTTTCATCGTGTACATGTTGAGGTCATTGGACAACTAGGTGGAGTTGGTTCAAGTCTTTGGGCTTGGCAGTGAGTGCCTTTACCCAGTGAGCTTTGTATCTTGCCCATGAGTTCACTTTTTTTTTGTGAGAGGGGTTTGTTGCTGTTGTTTGAGTGCTGGGATTAAAGGCATATGCCACTATGCATTGTTAAATTCACATCTTAAACAGAACTCCATCCTCACTTTCAACATACAACAAACATGTTTTGGGGGAGGGTCTCTCCACATTGCCCTGACTATCCCAGAACTCATGGTGTTGTATTTGGACTTTCTTTTGACCACCAGCTCCTAAATAATGACGAGGAGACTGACTTATTATGAAATCTTGGTCTTATCTTAGACTTGTTCCCAGCTAGCTCTTAAAACTTAAATTAACCTATTTATATTAATCTAAGTTCTGTTATATGACTTGTTACCTCATACCGTATGTCTGACTTCCTATGTATCTTGCTGTGAATCTCCTGCCACGTAGATTCTTCCCTAAGTTCCTCTCTCTCCCTGGAAGGCTCACATATCTCTCCTGCCTGGATATTTGGCTATTCAGCTCTTTATTATACCAATCAGAAGGTACCTTAGGCAGGTAAGATAAAACAGAGACATCTCTGCACAGTGTGATCAAATAACCTGCAACACTGTAGACCAGGCAGACCTCAGACTCACAGAGATCCACCTGGCTCTGCCTCCTGAGTGCTGGGATTAAAGGTGTGCTCCATCTTGCTTAGCCTAACTTTCAATATTAAGGTTTTTATAATCCCAGCATTTAGGAAGGCTGAATTAGGAGGACTGAGGGTTTAGGCAACTCGGGCTACAGAGTAAGTTCCCGTGTCAAAACAGAAAACAAATCAGAAACCTCGTGGGACTTTCACTTAGGATTTGTGGGTTTTTTTGTTTGTTTGTTTGTTTTTTTTTTTTTTTTTTTTTTTGGATTTTTTGAGACAGGGTTACTCCTTAGCTTTTTGGTTCCTGTCCTGGAACTAGCTTTTAGACCAGGCTGGCCTCGAACTCACAGAGATCTGCCTGCCTCTGCCTCCGGGTGTTTATGAATTCCGAGTGCCATTGAATTCCTGCCACATACCTTTGGAGATACTGTGAGTTCTTGTTCACAAAGGCAATTGAAAATATAACTTTACTTTTGTTTTTGTTTTTTTTTCAAGACAGGGTTTCTCTTGTAGCTTTGGAGCCTGTCCTGGAACTAGCCCTTATAGACCAGGCTGGCCTCGAACTCAGATCCGCCTGCCTCTGCCTCCTGATCCTGAGTGCTGGGATTAAAGGCGTGTGCCACCACTGCCCAGCTTTCTTGTTTGTTTGTTTGTTTGTTTATTTAAGATTGTGTGTGTGTGTGTGTGTGTGTGTGTGTGTGTGTGTGTGTATTGTACATTTCAGTGGTACCAGTGGAGGACAGGAGAGGGCTACCAGTGATTGCTGGAAACAGAACTCCCAGAGAGCAGCAAGAACTCTTAACCACTGTCTCTCTGGACCCTGCTATTTCTTTTTTTTGATTAGAACATTTTTGTTGTATTTTAATTCTCTGTGCTGCCTAAAATGAAGTTTACTGCATCTTGAAAATGATTTCTCTGATACTCCCTCTGGAGAGCTTTGCCTGCTTCATCTTAGTTCAGGTATGGGGCAGATGCTCTGGGTTGTTGACCTGTGGAGGGGGAGGGGCCTGGGTCCTGGCTGTTCCCTAGCTAGGAGCAGTCACTGTTTCTTCTTACCTTCTGTGCTTTGCCTTAAAAAAGCTAACTGAAGCCGGGCGGTGGTGGCACACGCCTTTAATCCCAGCACTCGGGAGGCAGAGGCAGGCGGATCTCTGTGAGTTCGAGACCAGCCTGGTTTACGAGAGCTAGTTCCAGGACAGGCTCCAAAACCACAGAGAAACCCTGTCTCGAAAAACCAAAAAAAAAAAAAAAGCGTAACTGAGAAGAATGTAGGTAAAATGTAGCCATATGTAGGTAGGTGCAGGAGGGCACCTTTGCTCCTCCCCCTGCAGGGTGAGAAAGACACAGACGTAAGTACAGTGTGGAGTCCAGAGGACCCTGGCCAGGCAGGTCCGCGCTCCGGTAGAATGCATTGCTGAGAAATGAAGGCCATCAAGCTGTGTTCTACTTATAAAATCACTCCTGGACACTTGAGGGCATGGTTTTTTTGTTTTGTTTTGTTTTATTTATTTATTTATTTATTTATTTATTTATTTATTTATTTGTTATATATACAATATTCTGTCTGTGTGTATGTCTGCAAGCCAGAAGAGGCACCAGACCTCATTACAGATGGTTGTGAGCCTCCATGTGGTTGCTGGGCATTGAACTCAGGACCTTTGGAAGAGCAGGCAATGCTCTTAACCACTGAGCCTTCTCTCCAGCCCCTGGGCATGTTTACTGTGACTTGCTGTGGGCACTGTGGATGTAAGGCAATGTCTCCTGGCATCACCTGCTTCCATTTGGATGTTGACATCTGATGTTCTGCTTAGCACTAGTTGGCCAGTTCAGGTTTTAGTCCCAAACTTCGTATAACATTAAGTTTGATTGAAACAGGTCAGTATTTGAACATAATTGTTAAATGCTTCAGTCATGGGGCCAATGAGATGGCTGAGGGGATAAAAGCATTTGCCAGGGAGCCTGAGGACCTGAGTTCATTTTCTGGGGCCCTGATAAATGTGGGACAGCAAAACTCTACAGAGTTGTCTGTGGGCCTTTCCTGTGCACTGTTTTGTGTGTGTTACCCTAGAATAAACAGATACATTTTAAAAATACTTCAGGGCTGGAGAGATGGTTCAGTGGTTAAGAGTGCTGATTGCACCTGTGTGGAGACTGACAACTGCCTGTAACTTACATGTGTGGAACACAGACAAAAGACCAATAAACATAAATAAAATTTGAAAAATACCTTAATTACCTTTAATCCAAGTACTCGGGAGGCAGAGTCATGCAGATGTGTGAGGTTGAGGCGAACCTGGTCTATAGAGCGAGTTCCAGGACAGCTAAGTCTACATAAAGAAACTGTCTTGGGGCTGGAGAGATGGCTCAGTGGTTAAGAGCGTTGCCTGCTCTTCCAAAGGTCCTGAGTTCAATTCCCACCAACCACATGGTGGCTCACAACCATCTGTAATGAGATCTGGTGCCCTCTTCTGGCCTTCAGGCATACACGCAGAAAGAATATTGTATACATAATAAATAAATAAGTTTTTTTTTTTTTTAAAAGAAACTCTGTCTTGGGGGTAAA